ACACATGGAAGTTGGTGAGCCCCTGGTTAGAACTCCCATTCCTTGGTTCAGTCAGGTAAACGAGAACTACGAAGCTGATCAGTATTGGGCCGAATCGGATAGCCATACATCGTTTGTTCTGGGGGGAGAATTTGAGAAGGGGATGTATTTTGAAAGTAAGAAAATGTTTCAAGAAATGGTGAGAGATGTATTCCATATAGTAGAATCAATTCTACACCACAGTGACATCGAATGAGAGTGTCCTTCATTTGCGGTGCACGAAGAAATGTGGTTGAATGCTACAGGGTACCAAATCAAGTGAGCACTCGTGTGGATTTACCCTAGTCACGTACAAAGGCCCGCACCGGGAGAACTGTGTCATTGAAATACTATCTACTGATCACCCGCACTTGGATTCGTCCTTAATATTAAAGTATGTGAAGTCCTTTATGCGAAAAGATTCGTCCTTGAAAGTTGAATTCATACAGAAACTCATCTCCAAGCAATTTCATTTCGATGTGCCATATCGAAGAGCATGATATGCCAAGGAGAAAGCAATAGCTGAAATATTTGGGGATTGGGAGAGTTCTTACGGCAGTCTTCCGCACTTCATGCAAGCACTCCAACAGTCAAACCCGGGAACGTGTGTCGTATGGAAACACAAAGCTCTGGTGGACGGTGTGTACTACAGCAACATGGAAGTGTTTGAACGAGTGTTTTGCGCCTTCGGTGGCTACAGCTGGGGTAGTGCCTGTTTGGCGACATTGTATCGCCAGTTGTGTAGAGCATCCCACCTTGGTTCTAGCGAGATCGGAGGTCCCTTGATTGTGTTTCAGGTAACTCACCTAATTAATTACCAACAACCTATTTCGAAAGCCACTTACCTAGTTTTGTATTTTTGTGTGCCAGTTCTGGGCTTAGGAGCATATCCATGTAGGCAGACCAGGTAGGCCTGCTAGACATCGTCGAGGGGAGCAGGACCGGGACGACCAGTACTAGGCGTACGATGCTCCACCGCTCCTTACACCTGATGAGGCGTACGGTTGCAGGTTCGATACAGTTGTCATTACTTTAGACTTCATTTATTGTACTAGTTGATAAACTAAAATATTTTTTGGTATTAGGTGGGTGGTCCCCAGACTGGCACATGCGCATGTGGCGAGGGGTCTTCCGTACTAGCGCGACGCCCTAGACCAACTCACCGAGGACCAGGTGATAACTTAAAAGATACTTGTAAACATTTTTGTACTGTGAATACTGTCTGCGGACTAACCTATTCATAATATTACTGTTGCTGTGTTATTGCAGATGGCATGGGATCCGTATGTACCTGACTTGGTAGATGCCATGCCTACACATCTGCTGGACCATCAGGCGGAGTGGCGTGCCAGGGTCCCCTGATCTGTTTCGAGGTTGTGGAGAGTCACCTACTCGACCGAGTCATGAGGCAGTTTGGAGTACGCCAACCTATCCCCCAGCAGTGTGACACTAGTGTACGCCTTCACGACCGTCGGGGAAAGGGGGAGACAAGCTGGTCACTAGAGCATTGGCGTTTCCTTGAGCTGTGGCAGGAACGGCTGGACTTCGTCGTTGGAGGTGATCCGATGCAGGGCGTTATGGATCCCCACGATCCGTAGATGCTGTGGTACAGGCGTATTACACGGCGTTTCATCAACCCCATTTACACACCACCATCCACACATTACCATCCAGCATATGACGTCATTAGCGGATATGTGAGTTTCTTTTATTCTACTTATTTTCATCAATTTTTTAATTTCTATATCATACAAATGACTGATTGATGATTACTGCAGGCTGGGGATATGGTGGCGATGGTTGATGCACTGTCAATCGCCCTTGCAGACGGACCACCAGTCCCCAGGTCGAGCGGGTACGAGATATGGGCGTGGCTACCTTGCAGAGATATGGTCACGGCTATCTCGTCCACCAGCGGGACGACCATGATGGCCACTTCGTCCATTCACAGTTCGAGCTCAGCCAGAGTAGCTGTGGAGGTGATCCTACGTCACCCAGAGACGCAGAGGATTACATCATCCACAGTTCTGCGCCCAACCCTACCCAGGAGGGCCCATCGTCCAGCCAGTAGACTCTCCTACCGCCCCGAGACCCATTCACCACCATTACACATTACAGGCGGCGTCGTGTCAGGCGGAGGGACGACAGACAGGATACGAAACCTTTACCCCGAATAAATGAGTCGGGATAGTATTAGCTGATTTATTTCTTGTAGCCTGATTTTGTGGAATGATGTATATAACACTTACATTATTAATATAATAAATGTTTTTTGAATGAATCTCTGTGTGGTTTGAAGTTTAATTTCCTTATTTGTCCAAATCGGACTTATGTCAGTCAAAATAGATCCTTCCAGGGCAATATAAATCAAACACAAGACAATTGGGCTCCATAATGGAAAACGGGGTAGAAGCGATGGCTCGTCGTGTTTAATGTGGTGGTTGATGGTGGTTGTAGTGCTGTTGGGGGTGTTTGGAGTTTTCTGAAGTGCTTAAGGGTTGACGGAACTCCTAGGAGGTGGTGGTTGGTGGTGGTCGATGGTGGTGGTAAGGTTGGGATTGTGGTGGGGGTGGTTGTAGTGTTGCGGGGGATGGTTGGAGTGTTTTGAAGTGCATAAGGGTGGTCGAAAGTGGCGGGAGGTGGTGGTTGGTGGTGGTCGACGGTGGTGGGACGGTAGGGATTGGTGGTGGTGGTGGTGGTTGAGGGTGGTGGCTGATTAAAGGCTGGGGGTGGTGTGTTGAGGGCAGAATTAGGAGACTGGGCTACAGGTTGCTGGTTTTTACTCCAGCGGAAAAATGCAATTTGGGACAACGTTTTATGTTCTACATAAAACACTGTCTCAGACAGCGTTTTATGTACAAAAAAAAAATGTACATAAAACGCTGTCTGGGACAGCGTCTTATGTGTATTTCAATTTATTTTTTTTTTAAATTCAAAAACTAAGAATTTTTTTTTAAAAAAAAAGACAAAAGATAAAACGCTGTCCCAGACAGCGTTTTACAAATTGAATTTTTTTTTTAAAAAATCCAGGGCATAAAACGCAGTTCGAGACAGCGTTTTACCCTGGAAGCTTAGTTTAGTAAATAGTTTTGCCACACAACCAATTTGGTAAATACTTTGCCAAATCAGCCTACTTTGGAGAAAAGTCCCTCCTTGTTAGGTCGTGGGTTCGATTCCCGTGTTCAGCATTTTACCTTTTATAGCTTTTCTATTTCTTCCCTTTTTCTTTTACATTTATTTTAGCTTTTCTATTTTTCCCCTATTCTCTTTCAATATTTTTAATATTTCACATTTTTGTATGTTTTTATTTCCGATCTGTTTTTTTTTTTTTTTTTTTTTTTTTTTTAATTTTGACCTCTTTTTTTTTAATTTCACTTTCCTATGTTTCTATTTTGCCATTATGAACTTATGGTACATAGCTATTGTGAATTTGTGATTGGCTTCTAATTCAATCTTTGACCTTTCTACTTTTCCCTTTTCCTATAATTCTAGTTTCTACATTAATTAAATTTTAATTTTTAAGATTTTGTTGATAAAGAATAACAACTTTTATAATACATCTCTTAACAAACAAAATTTTCACAATGCAATGGTTCCTTCGAATTATTGGTAATAATTGAAACTTGGATTATGACATTAAATTTTATCATACAGTCATAATTGTCGTACATTTAAAGTTTTCAAACCCATATGTTAATATTTACAATTATAATTGTATGTTCAAATTAATTAAAACTTAGGAAGCAAATTGCTCTCTTAAAACATTATTCGGTATAATAAATGATGACCCAACAACTTTGAATTTCTGGATCTGCCACAGTTTGTTGCATGACCAACATCAAAACTTAGATGAAAGTAGCTCATGAAAATATAGCCCTTTGACCAATATCAAAATTTAGATGAAAGTAGGACATAAAATTACAGAGCTCAATATCTCAGCAGTTTCTCTCTTTTCTTTCTTGCTTTGAAAATAAGTGCCAAATTCTTCTTTTGTGAGGGGAAGGTGACTTCTTTGTTTGTGGAGGGGAGAGGACGGGGAGTTGTGATGGTAGGAGCCTTGGAGGAAAGGGTGGTGGCTTGGTGGCTGATGAAGGGATCCGAAGAAGGGGTGGGAGATATAAGATATGCACTCTGCATGATTTCCAAACTCACAGACTAGTTGCATGGTTTTCCAGTTTAGTAAAAATAAATTCTGGTTATCAAGAAATAATTTCAGTATACTAAAACTAATTAGTAGTTAAAAAAATAAAAAATTAAGTTTAGTAAAAATAATTTCAATTCAACAAAATAAGGTGAAGAAAACAGGATTATATTCATTAATTTAGCTATTCAAGTCATTGTCAAACAATGATTACTCAACACACCCATATAGTTCATGATGAAGAGTTGAAGATAAACTCCACTTCTATGAATTTTCATACCAGTATTGAGAATGCAGGAAATCTAAACTCGTCTCGACCATTGCAATTCAGGTAAAAAAGCTTCAGTTCTATAGCTCCAAATGACATTACATTCGATTTCAATCCAAGGTTCATTTTACGTTCTATGTTGAAGTTCCAAAATTTTATTCAAGTGGATGTCATAATGAAATAGAAACAAAGCCCCAATCATATAACACGCCAACCCTTAATTAATATGGAGGTCATCACGAAATTCTCACTGACCACTAATAGTTCCCACAGAACAATACAAGTTCTTTGTGCAACAACCTTTCTCTTGAGATCCAACCCCCAAAACAGTTCTAAGACCTGAAACACACCTCTTGTCTAAACTTTGCAATATATGGATCACAAGCTCCTACCCAATGCTTGGGATTATCAGAATTGCTATCAGAGACTGTTCCTCCAATTGCTACCCTTTTATATGGATCATAATACAGATAATTATGTACACAAATTTCGACTACCAAGGCTCGGAGAACTAATCTCCCAAAACTACCCCCACTAAGATAACTGAACCTCGAATCACTGAGAAAACATGTATTGAAGATTTGAAGTTCTGCAAATTTCATAGAATGTGTATAACCTAGATCCTTAAATGTGCAACTAACAAACATCTCCATATCTCCACTTGGCATCCAATTTATGATGTAACATCCTAATTTTTACACGTGTAAAGATGCTTTATATAAGACACATCAAATTGAGTTTAATCTGATCAGTGTTAAGGAAAAGAGCTCCCTATACAAGACCACCTAAACTCATCAGTGTCCAATACCAACAGGAATGGCATCATGGGACTGGAACCAAAATCACAAAACCTCGACTGTCAATCATGCCAAAGGTGTTAACAGACCAGTCTTCAACATTAATATCTGTTCTTTTCAGCATTATGGGCTCAAGCTGGCAACTTAAGATTCGAATTGTTTTTCCAGCTGAAATAAAAGAAAATAGAAATCTATCTTAATTTCATACACATTTGAAAGGCAGCATCAACAGGAATTGATAAAATTCTTAGTTATTTACCTGATAAAGTAGTAATAAAAGAAATCTGCATAAAGGGCAGTCTGAACAAGGCCAGAGACGCAAGCTGGAATTTGAAGGGGAATCACATGTCAGACATTATTATCTTGGTGATAGCATTGTTTTGCTCTAGGAAAAACCCTACCTATCCATCGAGTGAAATATGGTTTTGTGAAGTAGCGATAAATCCAGTTGAAAATGTAGAACGCCCTGTATGCCCTGTAAAAACCAAGAAATCTTATTACATAAATGCTTTAAATGGACCATTAAAATCACAGGACCAGGAGGTAATTTTGACCCAAAAAAAGGAATGTGGATGTTAAAGACATACTAATATAGTACTCAACAACTCATCAGTCACATCTAAGAGATCACGTAGAAGTCAAATTCTGAATAGTCTCTAAGAAAACAATCGCTAAGCATAAAATGGAAACTAATTTGCACTAAAACAAGAAGAAATTCAGGCATTTTAAAAGATGTATTATGATCATCGTTGCCTAACTTAATAAGTCTAAAGCTCCCTGACTCAAACAGTTGAGTATACTTTATCCCTTGGGCCCTTGGCAAATAGACTTGACATTAGAGAGATACATTGTCTAATAGAAGACATTTTTACGTTGTTACACTGCATAAATGAAGCAGTACATTGTAAATGATGGGAAACATACAAGAAAAGTTTTCAAAATCAAATATTATCAGTAGTTATTGTAGCAAAATCTGCAGCTGGGGTTTCATGGATTTTCCACCCTAAGCTTTCTGATAGAGTACTGATCCTTGTTCATATTACTTTATTAAATTTTAAAAGTCGATACATACTATCTTATCTAATAGAACATAGATATTCAAGGAAGAGACCAGAAATATAGGTTGAGCAGCTTAAGAATACCAATGCAAGGCATAGTACCATTCAACCAATTTCATTAAGGCTGAGAACTTTTTCTTCCTCACCTTATTAGTCTGTTAATTACTTGCAATCAAAATTAAGGTTCAAAACATTGGACTTTGGCCACATTGTCTCTGACCAGAGGACCTGACACATCCTATGATTGGTTGAGATGCTCTTCAATCCTGTTATATATTGCTACATCCATATTCTAATGTTAAGAATTGAGATGACGTGACTTATATTATATTCCGTACATATAGCTTCCTAATTTTGGAAGCAGCATGATTCCTTGTCATCATAATGCATTTGAGGAGGCTTAGCTAGTGCATGGTATAGTTGTTAACTTATTATGCAAGTAAATAGATAAAGGGTGGATTAGCGCAAAAATTGAGTAATCTAATTTCTGATTAACTAAATGTTAAAACGATACTATGTCATGACTATTCCTAGTTGTAGGCATATCTTAAAATTAATTATTTGTGTTTTAGTTACTGCTACATTCTCAATCCAGTCTAGCACAATCAAAGCTGATTGAACTTTCTAGGGCAAAGCCAGCAGAAGGTTCAGAAAGATAAATTTGATAAAATTCACAGTTAGATATACATCTGAATCAGGAATGATTTTTCTTTATTAGCTTTGTCCCATTCTTCAGCTTCTGGTTTAGCAATCCATATGATAAAAGAGCAATTCAATGAGGCAAGAATGGCACAGCCATAGATCCTCAAGATGTGTTTTAAGGTGGGACATTTGCGATACTTGAGTTATAATAAAAAGAAACAAGTTAGATGAATTTAGGACATACCCAAGAAAGAAAACATATTGAGCTGCCAAGTTGTCAACGTTTCCACTTCTTTGTAGCAGGAAAAGCTGGGGAAGAATAGCAACAGCTTCCAAGTATATAGAAAATGCCCAGAAAACCTGAAAAAAAATAAAATATAATTGCGAAGTGAGCTACATAAGTGTAATTGAATATGTCTACAGTCTATGCATGAGTCTAAGTTTTAGAATAACAAACATTACTTAGAAAAGGAAAAAATAAAATCTAAAAGAATGCCCTCCAAAAATTCAACTAGTGCAAAGTACTAATGAAGAAATGAATCAGGAATAAAATGGAACCGTGAACATTATCTTTCACAATCTAATTAAAACTATGGCCTATACTCTTATATTGCAGAGTAATGCCTCAGGAAACCAAAAGCAACATTACTACAAAGCAACTCAGAAATGTTTTCCTCATCAGATGCTGGGAAAGTTATGCTCTTTAATTTAAGCAAACTTGTAGGGATTACAAGCTAATTGATTTGTTGGAGCAATAAGTAGAGCATTGAAAGGACAATAAATTAGCAAAGAGAAATATCCCAGAACAGGAAACACGTTTGCAAAGCATTAGGGTAATAAGGCTTTGTAAAATCTGAACTATATTGTCTTAAAGGTATATTATGTGAACTTATATTCTTATTTGAACTTATTTCCAATGTATCAGAATTTACTTTCACCATAGTAGAATTTAATTTATTTTTAGTTTTTTACTGTAGTAAAACTTATTTGTGATTGTGTTTGAACTTGTTCTCATTGTGGCATGTCCTAATTGGACTAAACTTATTTGAGCTTATTTTGGACTGAAATTTCCTCAACTTCTGTACTTTAATAAAGAATCTTCACCAGGGTTGGGGTGAAGGGATAAGAGTATATGAGGGCCAACTATGCCTACATTTTTGTGGGGACACCATATGCACAGTTCATGCTCTTCTTTAGCTAAAATAAAGGCAAAAGGCTTACAAAGAGAAGATATGTTATCATTTATTCAGGCTTAGGATGAGGAGCATTATTTACTAAGTTACTCCATAAAAAGTAGGGAAGAGACTTGTACATTGACATGTTCCAAATTTCCTATTTCACTGTTTTTACACAGCAGGTAGACATTAATAGAAATCCCCTTGGGATTATAGAGATAAGCAGAGCAAAGCGCTTAAAACATTCTTTACAAACTTGCACAGGTCTGATGCTCAGCAATTATACATCCATGTCATAAAAGTGCTGTAAAAGTCAAGTGACCAGATTACCATGTAGCAGCTCAAAAAGCAACCGGTATCATATGAAAATGAAAATTTGAGTTACAATGGAAGCGAATAATTTCCTCTACCAGCAAAGTTTTCAAATTTCATTGAACATAAATAACTATACATCTCTTAATCCTCTTCCAGGGAAGAGGGTGTGCAGCTCATAGCTTCATAGATGAAGAAATCCCTGGGAACAGTTATATAGTTTGGACAGATACAGGATTACAAGATCATATTACCATTTGGAAACTGCAAAAGTATAAACATGGATATGTGCACCATATATTAGTTTTTCTAACGAACTAACAGAACAAACAAACACAAATAGATTTCTTTCCAGGCTCTGATTAAAAGTGACGACAAAAAATTATCATCACAAAAAACACAAATTTCTAAATGAAAATGTTTTTTCCAGAATTTACCTCTTGCACGGTGAACTTCTCGTGAATTAACAGCGCCAACACAAAGCTCCCAAGGACGAGAAGATAATAACGAAATGTGTCAAGCTCTTTGTCATATGAACGCTTGATGACAGGGTGCAACCTCATAGACCAAACAATAGACAAGGAGCTAACAATGAACACAACCTTCATCATAGTGTTATAGACAGATATGAAATCTGTGAACAAATCAAGGTAGCGAGCCAAAAATACCAGCGCATACAGCTCTTGCGTCTTCAGTGAAATGCCTGGCAACAATGATCCCACACATACTTCAGAATTTCAGATAACACGCTAATGAACTCATCAAGCACCAGCTATTAAACTACAGAAAACTGCTATCTAAAATTATTAAGTTATTCTTCTTAAACATACAAACAAACTGTGAAAGTTACAGCACCAAATTACAAATACCAATACATTGGTACTCAAACCGCCATTCATAAGTCTCATCGCATATTCGACTTCAAAATCACATTCTCCCTTCCATTCGGACTCAAAGACATCGCGCTAAAACTCACATTAAATCCCATCCTCAAATAAATGTCTCATTCTCCATATTTACAACTAATGCCACCCAATTGAAGCATAAATCAAGTGAAAGTGAAGTCCACTACGTTACTTTCATCATCCATCCAATAACAATCAAATCATGCATTAACAAAATTCAATCACTAATAGAAGGTTTGCGCAAAATTTCAATTAGTTATCCACAATTTAAGGAAAAGTCAAATAACAATTATAACACCTCAAAATATTTCAAACGAGATTCTGGACTTCAAAAATCATCACGAAAATGACAAATTTCTTTCACTTTCAAATATATTCTGCGCAATTCTTAGTCAAAATTCAGTCAATATAAAAAAATAACGAAAACTTCCGACATTCAACGACTCCATCATTTCAACTTCAAACAAACCCTAATCTTATAAAATTACTCATTCTGAATAATTATTTAACAACAAATTTACGAATAAAATTCAGTTAATGCTCAATTATGTATCAAACCGTCAAATAAAAAATGTATCAAACCGTCAAAAAATAAAATAGCAGATAATGCACAATTTTTTAATTCAACATTTGAATAAATATACAAAAATCAGACGAAAATAAGTAGGAATAAAGTGAAAAATTAACGAAAAAGAGAGGAAGAATGAAGACCTGAGCATGATTTAGTAGCATAAATTTTGAGAAGTAAGACTATAATACTGATTAAATGAGTCATATCACCGGCAAATCTGAAGATATTCATGATTGCTAATGCTTTGAATTTCTGGAAAACAGTGGAAATTAACAGGAAGGAATGAAATGAAATTTGTAAAATAATGAAGATTGCTTGTTTGTTTGTTTTTTGGGGAGAAAAATGAAAAATGAAAAATGGTGAAAGGAAAGAAAAGTAGTTGAAAATGGAAAAGAGGAAGAGAGAAATGACGTGGCGAATAGAGAAGGTGGGTTTTGTTTCCACGTACTTGGGTTTGTTTTCGGTGTAGGTAGGTCGGGCTCATTGGTGTTTGGAATCGAGCCAGAAACTCTAGCCGGTTGATTGTTTGTTTGTTTGTTTGGTTAGTAAGAACGAGAACTTATTGCAATAGGTTTCAATTTAGATTTCTAATATTTTGGAATAATCGGTGATCTGTGTATCTAGGTGTACCATGTACCTGGACAAAAACAATATCCCGCAAAATATGAAGCGCGGGAACTCTCTAAAAAACACGAAATGAACATTGTTCACTATATTAAAGAACATGAAGGGTTGATAAAAAGAAGTGAGAAAATCTGTCCACAATGCATATAATTTCGGAAAAAAAATCCTCCATCGGCCACATTTATTGATAAAATATTGAGCAAAATTATTTCCCAAAATAATCATTTTCTCTCTCTAGAAACTCACTCTCTCTCTTCAAACCATTTTCTCTGTTTACCAAAAAATTCAAATAACTCTTTCATAAAAAAAAGCCTTCATCTTCCCTAGTTATTTTCGAAATTTCATCAACAATTCAAGCCTCAGTATCATAAAAATGACCAATTATTCTAAAATGTAAGTTTTAATTGTGATATTTAATTTACATGCAAACCCATTCTAGTTTAATTTAATTCTTTTTTAATTTTAAGTGTTAATTTTTTTTTTGAAAAAGTTAGCAATAATAATCCCAACTTCACGGATTTTGTTTTCAATAATCCCAACTTTAGATTATTCTGGAATAATCCGAAGTTTGGAGGATGTTGATTTTCTTCAATCCCTAACCGGTCAACAAAAGTCAATGACCTATTATATCAGGTCACTTGACACGTGTCAAGTCTTGATTGGTCCAAAAAATAAAAAAAAATAAAACAAAAAATAAAAAAATCACAAAACAACAGTCAGCATCCCCTTCCCCACCGGCCCACCTTAACACCTGCCTGCCAGATCCCCGCCTTTTCCGTGCCGACCGAGCCCCTTTCCACCGCTGACGTCGCCACCTTCCTCCCCTGCCATTCCCCCATTCAACCACGAAGCAAACTCCTCCCCCACTCGCAAAAACCCCAAATCGCCCTTTTCCCCATCTCGAAACCCTAGCAGCTAGGGTTTTGCGATGGTGGGGGAAGGGTGTGTGGGGGTTTTTAGGAGTTGGGGAGAGTTTTAAAGGGAGTTTCAAGTGGTGGTGGTGGGTGGAAAAGGAGATTCACTGGCCGGAGTTCGTGTTTTAATGGAGCTTGTCGGCAGAAAAGGAGATGCGCTGACAGAAAAGGAGATGCGCTGACAGAAAAGGAGGGGAGGAAGGAGGGTTGCATCACCGGCGTTGGGGAGGGGGGAAACCGGCGCTGGGGGAAGGGGAGTAGCGGCAGTCGCCGGCGGCAAGGTTTTGGGTGGGCAAATTTGGTGTTGGTTGGTGATTTTTTTAAAAAAATTTGTTTGTTTTAAAATTTTTGTTAACCAATTAGCTCGTGACATGTGTCACTTTTTTAAAAAAAAAAAATTAACCCATTCGACAAGTCACTGGTTTTTGGGATTGAACAAAATCAACAGCTCCCAAAGTTCGGATTATTCCTGAATAATCCAAAGGTGAGATTATTGAATCAAAATCCGTGAAAGTTTGGATTATTATTTTTAAATTTTCCTTTTTTTCTTTGAATATTTTAAAATTCAAAATAGAGAACATAATAAGGTTGAAGAAGAACAATTAACAAAGGAGGAAGAACAAATTCAAAACAAAAGCCTAGGAGAACAACAATCTATCTTAGGTTATTTTTTATTTTCTTGTGTTTAGTAGTTTTTCCTTTTTATTTTTATTATTTTATTGAAACTAATGTGTTTTTTCTATTTATTTTGTTTTTGTTTAGTTTTTCAGTGAACAACAGGTAGAAGATGAAGAAAATCTTCCTTTGTCTAGTATATTTGTAATTAAAGAAACCAAAGACAAACATGCATCAGATGTTATAGGTCCAATTGTGGACCCCACAATCTTGAGATCCATAGAGAGTATGGATGATACTCCAAAGTAAGTTTAACAATCACTTTCTTGACTTTTTGGTGTTTGAAGTCTTCAATGTACTTCAATCTTAATTAAAAATAGCAGATCTATGATTGGTAGAGTCATTAAATTTTTTTTTTTTTTTTTTTTGGTGAATTTGTGTGTATGTTCATTTTATTTTAAGCTATGTTCTTTTTATGGTAATGTCATCTTTAAAAAAATATCCACTGGTGTTCTTTTTTGAAAAGCGTAATGTTCTTCTTTTTGTTTAATTTGTGTGTGCTTTTTGTAAATATGTAATGTTCTTTAAGGGTTTGCATATTATTGTTTGGCATGTGTTCTTTTTAGGAATATAAAATGTTCTTTAAGGGTATACATGTTGTTCGACATGTATTCTTTTTAGGAATATAAAATGTTCTTAAGTGTATACTGATCTATTTGTATAAATAAAAAAGAAAATTTTAATGTTCTTTTTTGAATACATCCTTGATAAGCGTCAAGTTGAGCTAGTTGGAGAAATTAAAACTGAATATCAATCACAACCAGAGGTTTAGGAACAAGCAAAGAAGAAGAAAGATTATCGATTCAAGCAAATTTCTACAAAAAAAGGTATGATAATTATGTGTTCTTTTGATTTTTATAATCATGTTCTTCATTAGTTATTTATATGTTCTTTTATAAATTGTGTATGTTCTTTTGAATAATGAAGGGAATCTTATCCATTATACATATACTCAACGAATGTGATGTTCTTTTACATAATTTATTATGTTATTATTTATATTTATGCAAACTGGTCTTTTTTATTTACTTTGTAGTAACAAGAAGAAAGCTGCCAATAAGAAAAGTAAGGATGATAAAGAATCAGACAAGCTAGCTAAGGATAAGGTTGTGGCAGAAGTAGCAATGAAAATGAAAATTACTATGGAACAGCTAGAAGGGAAGGAAAAAAAGTTGGTGTTAAGGAAAAGGAGGGGTCCAATGGAGGAGCCTTATTTCAAAGTTAGAGAAAAAAATGAAGTTGGTATCCCACAGTTAGCTTCATAATATATATATATAACAACGAGTCTTCAATTGTGGTTTTTCCAAAAGAAGTATCACAGGAGATACATGTAGAGAGAAAAAGAGCTAGAAATATATAGCATAAATAGAAAAAGAATGATGATGCGGATGATGAAGACAAAGATGAAGAAGAAGAAGGAGACGAAGGAGTCCTTACATTGAAGCCAAGGCATATAGTTCAGCCTTTGATGCAATTGATTAGTACTTTACAAGATAAGGAAGATAAATTGGAAGCCATAAGGATCGGAGTATGGGTTTTGGTGGGTTGTTACACATTAACTTACCAAGGTATTCTCCAAAATTTGCTACTATGTTGGTGGATAGCTTGAAAGTTAACAGTTTGTGTGTTTTCTGTAATAGAAGTAGGGCAATAGATATTATGCCAATTGATGTCCATCTAGTATACGGTATACCAATTGGTGGAAAAGTGATAGTTAAATCAAATGATGAAGATGAAGTTCAAGTTGAAGCAGTGAGAAAGCTTATCATGGTGGTATAGAATACCAAATTAAAGAGATTGGTAGAAAAATTAATGAATATAAAGACTCCTCTTGATGATGACTGGAAGAGGAGTTTCTTGGTATTGGTGGTTAATTCTTCTATAAAGTCTATGTCTGATACACAACTCTTTCTCAGGTAAAATTTTTAGCAAGTCTAGTGATATTCATTATGATAAATAGTAATGTTCATTTTGATGTTTATAATGTTCTTTTCATTTTTTGTTGTTCATGTTCTTTTGGAATCAATTTAATGATCTTTTTTCATAATTCAATGTTCATCATTGTGAGTAGGTTCTTGTATACATCAGTTAACATCAATCAAATTCCTAAATATGATTGGTGTGCATACACAATAGAGAGTTTGGTGGAGTGGAGTCTTTATTGGAAGGGTGATACCAAAAGATTTTTACCCAAACCATTTCCATTTCTTATGGTAATATATATATCATGTTCTTATTATGGTATTGATTCAATGTTTTTTTTTTAAAATATGTATAATAATAACTTGATATTTGTTTTGTTTTATTCATATGACAGGTTTGCTACTTTGACTGCCTTTAAGGCATACTCTTAAGACTCCAAGACATATCCCAGTTATTAAAGAGTGAGATGTTGACTTAATCAAATAATGTGTAGATCTTGAAGTAAGACTTGGATTTGGGCATATCATATTATTGGATAGAATACAAGCCCTTAATTAGCCCTATGACTTTGCACTTTTAGAGGAAGCAAGCATTTGCTTTTTATGAATTACTAGGGCGCACAGAGGGGCTAGCTCTTGTGGAGAAGTTATATTGGCGTGTGTTTACACCTTTGGTTTGGATGATATTACGTACTATTTTGTTTGTACCTATGTGGTGGTTTTGTAGAAAGGATTGAAAGCCACCAAATTTTTTTATGAAGATTATTTTTAAAATCCTCAAAAGTTTGACAGTATTATTCCAAAATTATCATTAAATAATATTTAATTGATTGGCATCCCTTCATATCGTATTATTATCTCTTCATATCTTAAGGGGCAATTGTTAGTTTAGAACACTTAATTGATTTGCATGTATCAATAATTCTTAGTATAATATTTCTAGTGTGGTTTTCTTCACATTAATTTTTTGTGAGCTTAGGTCATACGAACTAATAATATGTGAAATGTTGCAGCTAAAAACTTAATAATGTAAGCTCTTTTATGTTCTACGACCATCTAATATCTATATCTAATACTAAAGCAATAACCACTTAGTTATATTTTTCCTCTTAAATTCCTTCATTTCTCCCATAATTAATACCGCTTTTTTTTTTTTTTCCTATCATCGATTTCCCTTAATTTTAGGATTTTTAAGTTTTTTATATCTCTTGATAACATATGCTAAAATATCACTATTTATATGAATCCAATTTATAATTCCATAACATTGTTTACGTGCCATCAAACAATGTACATTTCAAAAGCTAATAAACTTTAACAATAGTTGCAGTAAAAGGACGACAAGATTATATTGTGAATAAGAAGAGAAACCACGAAGGAGTAAAAATAAACAGTCTCTTGGTAATAAACATTCTCTTCGTACATATAGAATTTTTTTCTTTTTAAATAACAATAATCATAATCATCATAATAATGATAATAATAATAACGATTATAATAATAATAATGATGATAATGATAATAATGATAATGATAATGATAATGATAATGACAATGACAATGACAATGATAATAATAACGGCGCCACTCTCGCGGATTTACAGTCTAAACACCCTACTTCTCCAGCTCCATCCTTGTCTGATATACCTGTTGATGGCGTTCATCTCGTTACTACTTCTGGTGTTATTTTGGATCGGATTAAGAGTTTTCCACGTGGCACATCATGTGGTAGGGACGATTTACGCGCTCAGCACCTTGTGGATTGCTTAAGTGGTGCTGTTGTGGCTGTATCAGATGAGTTAGTTGACTCTATTTCCGGGGTGGTTAATCTTTTTCTAGCTGGAAAGTGTCCTATGGAACTAGGAGAGTATATTGCTAGTGCTCCTCTTACACCACTTGTCAAGCCCGGTGGTGGTATGCGTCCTATAGCTGCGGATACTATTTGGCGGCATCTGGTTTCGAAGGTGGGTGCTGTTATGGTTAGCCAGTCTTTAGGAAGTTACTTTGATGGTCTTTAATTTGGCGTTGGGGTTTCTTCAGGTGGTGAGGCAATTCTTCATGCTGCGAATCGGTTGATTGAGGACAGTGGTTCTGATGTTGGTCTTTCTATGTTGTTGGTGGATTTTCAAAATGCCTTCAATCTTGTTGATTGTACGGTCATGTTGCGTGAAGTTCGTCGTCGTTGTCCGGGCATTTCGCGATGGGTTGAATTCTGCTATTCTAATCTAGCCAAATTGTATTATGGAGACCAATCCTTATGGTCGTGCCAGGGAGTGCAGCAGGGTGATCCCCTTAGTCCTCTACTTTTTGCTTTGGTTTTATAGCCCCTAGTTTGTAAAATCAGAGATGCTTTTGACTTATGTCTTCAAACGTGGTATTTGGATGACAGCACTGTTATTGGTGACTTTTTGGTGGTGGGGAAGGTCTATAGTTGATTATGGAGGAAAGGCCTCGTTTTGGGTTACATCTCAATGTGGAAAAAACTGAAGTTTTCTGGCCTTCAGACGACCCTCGAAGCAGGCTTATGGGTGTCTTCCGCTTAATATTGCTCGACCTTCACATGGTGTTAAGTTTCTTGGTGGTCTTGCTAGTTCCGATCCTGGTTTTGGAGGTGACCTTATGATGTAGAGGGTGACCAAGACCATTGCTCTAATGGATAAGGTTTCTAAGCTCGATGATCCCTAATGTGAGTTGTTGTTGCTTAGGCATGTACCGGAGTTTCTAAACTCTACTTTGCTTTGCGTACTTGTCCTCCTATTACTTTTAAGGTGGCTCAGAACACTTTCGACGAGGCTCTTCGATCTTCCTTAGAGCGTATCGTTACTGCTTCGGGGCCTGGGTTTGGCGATTGGCAATGGCGGCTTGGCGGACTTGATGTTTATTCTGCAGGTGATGTTCGTCATTATGCTTTTCTTGCCTCTCGGGTATAGTCTACTGAGTTGCAGACAAAGCTTCTACGGCATGCTGGCGTTGTTGGCCTTGGACGAGCCTTCGCAGAGGCGTTGCATCTGTTTAATGGAACAGTTGAGTCTAACATTTTAAGTAATCCTAGTGAGGTCGCTGCCCCTAAACTCATGAAGAAGTTGACATATATATATTTCACAAAGGTTACCGCATCTGCAGAATCTACCTTCTCTTTATCTCCTTGTCAATCAGCATTGTGGAAATCGCAGCAAGGAGATCACACCTCTACTTGGCTTCGGGCAGTTCCTATTTCAAGGTTGGGTCAGATGATGAACGCAAAGACTTACCGATGTGTGTTGTGTTACCGCTTGGGTGTTCCTTTATCCTCTGTTTCGACGCCGTGCACTTCTTGTTCAAGGGTTTTCACTAGGGATATTTTCGGTGATCACGTGGTGTCGTGTGCTGGTATGGTGGGTATTAAACATCGGCATAATATTGTTCGAGATACTCTTGTTGATGTTTGTTATCGATTTGAGATTTCAGCTAGAAAGGAGGTTGACATTCGGTTGTCTGGAGGGAACGACAGGGCCCTTAGACCCGCAGATGTGTTACTTTATTCCTAGGATCATGGTCGTGATGTCTGTGTTGATTTGATAGGGTATTCTCCTTTGACACAGTCTGGGCTATCTGACTTTGTTCCTGGACGGGCTGTGGTTGATGCGGCTCATCGGAAGCGGGTCAAGTATGAATCTAGTTGTCGAGCAATTGGATATGGATTCCTTCCCTTCTCCTTTTCTTCACTTGGCGAATTAGACAAGGAGGCTGTTGCGTTGTTGAAGTGGGTTCAGAAGTTCTCAACGACTCAGGACATCGGGGCTCGTGCTGCTCCTCATTTTTTTTTACTAGGATAGGCTTTTCTATAGCTCGAGGAGTGCGGGCCCAGATTGTATCTCGGCTTCCCACTAATTTTTTGTAGGTTGTATGACTTTATCTGTTTTTGAGAAATAATAATAATGATATTAATAATAATGATGATAATAATAATAATAATAATAATAATAATAATAATAATAATAACAATAATAATAATAATAATAATAATAATAATATATGAAGTATAAAGCATTAGAAGTTTTTTTTATTCAAATAAAAATGCATTACAAGTTTTTTGTTGAAAAAAACTTTGAATTAATTGATGATATGTTTAATGAAAAAAACATTGAATATATTAATGAGGGTAAAAATGTAAATACAATTTTTGTACACATTTTTATACACAATTTTGAGGGTATAGTTGGTAGCACAATATTATTATCTTATACTTTTTATAAGGTAGGGAGGGAAACTAGTAAAAAGTCCACCAATGAGTTTTTAGAAAGAAATTAAACTCATAAACCTCGTTGGTACTTTTCTCCTAAGTAAAGTGCAGGGGATATATATTTGGTATAAAGCACGAGTTTTCCCTGTAACCCTTTACAAGGATTGCCCAAGCAACAATCTTTTGAACCAAAGTCGGATTTGGGAGTGAGGGTACTAGAATGTCAGTTTTTCAAAGCGATCATTCTAGCCCTAAAGGTGCATTTACTAGCTCTTCTTATTTGCAATTTCATTACTAGGCAAATATATGCAACGTGATACCTAAAACTAAGTTAGTTGATTTTATTCACAAGCGAAGATCACATAAAGTCTCAATGAAATGAATGTCGTTATTCTTTATTATTCAAATTCGTGAAAAGGGACAATATATAAAATAAATAAAATCCGCTAGACCTCTTAAGTGATAAAACAATAATTAATTAAATTTTTAGTCTTTAATTTACAACAAAATACTACATGGATAAATTTATTATTTTTATTTAAAGTGGCAAAACAACAATAATTTATAATTTAAGTTATTTAAACAAAAATCAAAGTGATTTAACTAAGTGCTCATCAAGAAACTAATCATTCTCCTTTTGCTAGATCTTCGTCTTGCGAGTTTATGGAATTCTCTTACTCTTTAACCTCCAAAAACTTCAAATGATTTAATCAGGGTTAGAATGTGTTAAGGACAAATCTAAACTTGATTTATATATAATTTAATTATTTTTAGGAAAAATAATTGGTAAAAATAATCCCAACTTTCACGTATACGCTTTAAATAATCCTAACTATCGATTATTTATAAATAATCCGAAATTTGGGGGTCATTCGCTTAATTGGTCCCAACCGGTTACCCAGCCTATTATAATAGATTACCAGACACGTGTCATTACGTGATTGGTCAAAAAATTATAAAAAATAAAAAGTAAAAAAATGCTAAATAACCAAACACAGCCCTTGCCACCTTCGGCGGGCGGCAGTCCACCACTTCGCATCCCCACCCCCACTCCCTGTCGCCGCTGCTCAGCTTCCCTCCAAACCCCAATTGTCGGACCACCACCAACCTAGCGAACCCCCTACCCTAGGAAACGACCCTTTTCCCCCACTCGATCTTGCCAGCAATCCTCACCCTGCCCCCGCGAAATCCGACCCAACCAACCAGCAAACCCATACTGCCATACCTATACCCTATAAACCCCCTCCCCCATCGACGCCAGGCGACCAAACCTTATCTCTTTCCGTCTCCCCGTCCTTGCAGAACCCACGAAAAATACCACCAGCTTGCTAGTTTTAGAGGGAGGCCTGGGAAGGAAACAGCGACGGGAAAGGGACTATGTGAACGGCCATAAACATGGCAGGGGAAGGGGAGAGGGTGGGGGAAGGGGAAGGCTGTGCTTTTCGGCAGTGGGATTGGGGAGGGTGGGACTGTCGGAGATGCGGGTGGGGAAGTGGCGTGTTGTGCGTGGTTGGGGTTTTTTCAAAATAAAATTCTATTTTTTTAATTTTTTTAATTTAATATGTTTTTTTTGACCATGCACGTGATGACATGTGTCTATTAAACCCCAAAAAATAATAATATAACTTTTTAACAGGTTACCGGTTACTTAGGACCTATTAAAACAAATGTCCCCCTGTAGTTGTCGATTGAAGCGTGCCTACTTAAGCATGTGTGAATATGCTTTGCAATTATATGAAGCAGTATTTGACATAAAACGATTATGGACAAAGCAAAGTAGGGAGCCGCCAACAAGTTTTTAAGAAATTTGTAAATCGTTCATGGATCATTTAAGGCAACCACGAATAAGGGACAACGATTGACCCGTGAAGGTTACACCCCATTCATAATCCATGAAATTACTAAGTTCATATGGTTCGAAACCATGAAAGGAGGATCGGGGATGATGGTACGAAGTGAGTCATTGAGTCACATTCGCCTGTATTGGCCTCTACTCAATTCTTATAGTGAAAAATATTTCCTGAGATCTCAACGGCATACAAAAAAAGATTCAATTTGCTCCAAACTATATTAGGCTAAATTGATTGGATATTAATGCATCACATAATTCTAAATATTAGATCACTTGATTAACCAACAAGATTAAAAAAGAACCTAAACCGGTCGTCCAAATTATCTTATTAAGTGTTATATTCAATTACATATTCCCTTTAAACATGCAATATGGTGATCATCATAAAACAACAGATTCAACATAACATTGGAAGCAATTTAACCATAAATCTAACAATTAATATACAACAAATATAATAAAAACCTTTAGAAATATAATAAGAAAAAAAGGAACATGATTCCTTACTTTGATTATGTTTGCTAGCAACTATAAAACAATAAACAAGTTGGTAACTTCAAGGAAAATAATAATAATAATAAAATGAAAATTAATTCAAATGAAAGTAAAGTTGATTTGGGACCAAACCCTCAAACAATTCTACCTTTCACGCCATGATTTAAGTATAGAACTTCGGGTAAAGTATGGACTCTGGGGAGTGCTTAGGAGATGAATTGTGAGAATAGGGAAGGCAAGTGTTTAGGCTAGAGCATAAGAGAGAAAGAGAGAATTATTTGGTGCGGCCCCGAAGCTGTGAAATCAGCTTCGTATGTATAGAGGAAATATGAAGGGTGAGGTCCGAAATCCTAAAATTGAGGCATCGCAGAAGAATAAAGCTTTGCAGCATGACATTTCTGTCGTGGCACGGTAGTTGTATCGTAGTGCGACAATACATTTTATCATTTCTGAAGATCAAAACGCGTAAGAAGATAAAATGGGTAAAAATAATTACCGTGGCACGGCAATATCTACCGTGGCCCGACACTGTCTACCGTGGCGCGACAGATGGTTTTTTTAAAATCCAATTTTATCTTATTTTCTTTAAAAGCACGTGACAATTGGGCGCCGTTTCAGTTATTTCGGACTCATTTTAGGTTTTATAAAATTTATTAATCGGGCTTAATTAATAAATAAATGAAATGGATTAAAACTGGATTGGGCTAAAATGAGGATTGGACAAGGTTTGACTAAATACTTGGACTGAAAATGTGGACTGATTTGTTAATTGTATTGGATTGAATATGGATTTTAAGCACTCCTAAGATTAAATACTCGACTCGACCAATAATGGCAGTGAAAGATTGTTCATCATCGGGTTTGGTTTTGGGGAGACATTTTTAGATTTCTACACCCCCAAAGTTCGGATTATTTAAAAATGATAATTAGGATTATTTTAAAGCGAATATGTGAAAGTTATTATTTTTACCAATTTTCCTTCTTTTTATTTAATTTATATTTTTTTTTATTGAAGTTACTTACAATTTATTCATGATGTAGTAATTTAAATGAGCACGTGTCATAATGTAAGTAATTAATTTATTTGATTGCTTATTTTATTTAATTTGCTAGTATCATGATAGAATTTTTAGGATTTATTATTTTCATACTCATGATTTAATTGTGCTAATTAATATTATGACGTTGCTTCCAATATATTTTTTTCGTGTTATTTTATTTATTTTGATCACCCTTTTGCATGTTTAATCAATAATATGTGATTGATAATCACATGTGCTAAGATAAATTGAACAAGCAGTGCAGGTTCCCTATCTTGTGGACTTAATAAATGATCACGATATATAGAATTTTACGTGCATCAAATATTCAACCAACTTAGTAATATTAGTTTAGAACTAATTCAATATTGTTTGTATGGCGTTCGAATTGCAAAGAGTACTTTTCACAATAAAAGTAATCGAGTTGAGGCCAATACGGGAGAAGTTGATTTCCACGACTCAACTTCGTACCATCATCCGATCCCCGGTCATTTATCAGTGGTTCGTGACCATATGGAGTTAATAATCTCATGGATTATGAATGGGCTGTAACCTTCATGGATCATTTTGTTGTTGCCTTTTATCCCTTTCGTGGTTGTCTTTAATGATCCATGAACGGTTTACAAATTCCTTAAAAACTTGTTGGCGGCTCCCTACTTTTTTTTGTCCCTAATTGTATAATGTCAAATTCCACTTCCTATGGTCGCCAATCATATTCACACCATGCTTATGTAGGCGCGTTTTGAATGACGACTGCAATAGGATACCTACATGATAAGGTGGACGACCTACTTGACCTTATAATTAGCTTACAACCACGAAATACTTGCAAACATGGATGACCACATAATAGACGGCCAACTTAAAAAGGTGATGGCATACTCAACCTTTTTCAAGAAACTTAGCTTGTAAAGGTGGACGGCCTACTTGACCTCATAACTATATTGCAAGCAAGGAATGCTTGCAAAGGAGGACGACCATATGGTAGGAAGCCAACTTGAAAAAGTAAACTTGGCCTTATAGCTATATTGCAAGCAATGAATTATTGCAAAGGAAGATGGCCACATGGTAAAAGGCTAGAGGCCCACTTAAGAAGGTAGATGGGTTACTCGGCCTTAGAGCTATTTTCCAAGCAAGGAGTGCTTGCAAAGGAGGTTGTCCACATGGTAGGTGGCCCACTTGAAAAGGTGGATGACTTACACGGCCTTATAGCTATGACAAGATGGACGACCATACGGTAGGTGACCAAACTGAAAGGTTAACGTCTAATTTAACTTGGTCTTATAGCTAAATTGCAAGTAAGGAATGCTTGCAAATAAGGGCAACTACGTGGTAGGCGACCCACTTGAAAAGGTGTCTGGGATAATCGTACTTAACATTATAGCTATATTGCAAGCAAGGAATGCTTGCAAAAAAGAACGCCTACATGGTAAGAGCCATACTTGAAAAGGTTCTATCTTACAACAAACAATTACGAAACAAACATTTAAGGGTAAAAATACTTTATAAAAAAGGAAACTAATACACCTATTAACCAAAATATTTTCAAAATATTACTCCCACAAAGTCTGATTCTCTCATAATTAGTTTAGAAAAAAGAAGAAAGAATGACCAGTTCATCCATTAAATTAACATCTACATGGCCTAGAAAGTTACTGTTGCAAGAAGTGCAACATCTAGCAGCAGTTTCAGGCAAAGTTGAAGAACTTTAAAGTGAGTTTGAATGGATGCAATGTTTTCTATATGATGTAGATGAGAAGCAGAAAAAAATGCTTTACTTCACAAATGGGTATCTGATATCAAAGATTTAGCATTCAAAGCTGAAGATCTTATAGAGACTTACATATTGCACATTGTGCATAAACCACAAAATCATGCCTTTTTTGGTTGGGATGGCCTTAAATGGTTAGCCTGTTATTGGAAGAATGTTAAGCCTCTACACAATATTGGGTCAGATATTGATGTTCTTAATGCTAAGATATCGAAGATGTCTTCGAGGTTACAAGCATATGGCATACAGAGCTCCTATAGTATGTACAACCACTCCTCCCTTGTTGCAAATAGGAAATTTCTCGCCGAGGAAAGACGAACCTATCCTCATGTTGGTGATAAAGAAGTTGTCGGCCTTGATGAAAGCGTATCAAAATTGATGGATACATTATCAAGAGATGGTCAACACGCTGTTGTGGTTGTTCATGGAATGGGTGGCATCGGAAAAACTACTCTTGGAAGGGAGGTTTTCAAACATAGCAATATAAAGGTGATTCTAAACTTCTACCTTATTTTTACCAAACTAGTTAATTTAATTTGGGTTATGCCATATTTGTTATCTCTAGTCTAATTCTAATTGAGTGATCTTATTCTAATTTGAAATTATAATTGATATAAACTAAATTTGAATTTTTTTTTCATTAGATCTTTAACTATACTTTCCAACCCAATTGGAACTAGGTTAAAATATTTTGTAGATTTTAAGATATAGTCGTTTGAGTGCAAGGGTATCGGTTTTGGGCCAAGTTTAAGTTTTTTGTGTAGGACTTTAGGTACTACAAGCGAAATTTCATGAATCATATTCATACGCACCTAAATCAGGATCACATGCATAATACACAAGAATCACATAATTATACCCTTGAAGCGTGAATTCCACGTAGCTATTTGATCGGTAAATCAGGGAGAGAATAGAGCCCCAAGAGTGGCCCCTCTACTTAGGCCACGGGATTTGATCAAACATCCACCAATGCTAGATCGGTCAAGTGAAAGGGAAAACCGCGATCACCACCTTCCTTGGACAACCGACCACCACACAAACACCACCACCACGAGCACACAACCGACGCCTAAGGGGAGGAGAGAGCCGTGAGAAAGAGGGAGGTTTGAGAGGCTTGGTTTCATGTTTGCTAATTAGGTTTTCAACTTAACAGTAAAACTGTTCTGTGAAAAAACTAGGCACCTAGTTTATTTATAATCCTATTATAATTAGACTAGGTTAGGAAGCCCAATAACCCTCTAAACCACCCTCATGGCCGGGCACCTAGAGTGATGAGGCCCATCATGGGCCTCGTCCTCTTATGCTTGATCTAGACCCTTTGTGTGACCTTATAGGATCCGTCCAATTGGGTTTTGGCCTATTTTACTAGCCCAAAGATCATTAGTACCTCTAGTTATGATATAACAACGACCCAAATGGACGAACTTAATTATCTCCATAATTTGATCCATTATATATGGCCGTTTGAGTGCAAGGGTGTCGGTTTTGGGCCAAGTTTAAGTTTTTTGCTCATATCTTCTTTGTTTTAAATTGGAATAGGGCTTATGATATATCGTTGGAAAACTTATTTCAAGGCCTATTCAACTAAATCGGATTCGGAACAAAGTTATGGGCTAAAAATTTAGTTTTGCTCGGTTTTGGGCTGGCTGTGGTCATGAAAAGAGAAAATTAGGTTATCGTTTGTGGATTTGGGCTAGGAAAAGGGTTTGAATGGTTGTTTGGGCTAGAATGGGCTAAGACTTTAAGCAATTCTTAATCCCGATACGCAACCTGACCAATTGGCAGCAAAAGGTCATTCATCACCGAGTTTTGATTTGGGGATACATTTTTAGGTGTCTACAAGTATAAGAATTGTATAATTGTGTTATCTTGTTAAATTATCCAATTCATCTCAATAAGTAATTAAAATTTATTAGACATTTATATACCTAGAACTTGAATTTTTTTTACCGTATTTTTTACCGTTCCCTCACTAAATCAAAGCAGCTCTATTAGAGTTTCGAACATTGCATAACTACACATCATCCAACACATTTAACAGCTATATGCAAATAGTAATAATAAAATATCATGCAAACAAGCATTGGGATAAAGGTCACCGATAATAATTTTTCTCAAAGGGCTAGTCATACCACCCTCGCGCATTAAAATCCCTAGTTATTCTATTCGAAAACTTAGAGTATACCATCATACCATATTATGGTAACATTTACCTATTTAATTACATATTTAAAATATTGCCATCATATTTACTCCAAAATACATAGGCCCTATTTGCTATGACTTTGGAGTTGTTTATTTACCCATAGAGTTATGGTGTAATAGTTCATGGACATTTGCTTTAAGTATTATATACTAGGTAAATGTTTTAGAGACGGGGGAAGTATTTACTCATACTAATTACATATCCCAGTTATACTTATACTTCGTGATAAATGTCCTCACAGGATCATTTCGACGATTGTGCTTGGACATATGTATCTCAACAACCTCAACAAAGACGTCTGTAAGGATATTGCCGATCAACTCATCACAAACCACGAAGAGAAGAAGTTAGTTGAGGAATTAGAAGATACAGAATTACATGGGAAACTTTGTGATATGCTAAAAAAATAAAATTACTTGGTTATTCTTGATGACATTTGGTATAGTAGAGATTGGAATTACCTTAAATCTGCTTTTCTAATTATTCACTCTTCTCATGGTAGCAAATTATTGATTACAATGCGTAATCCTCAAATATTTTCTAGCCTTGATGAAGGTTCAATGGGCACTCAAGAGGGGGGGGGGGTGAATTGAGTGTTAAGTAATCGTTGGCTAATTTTGCTTCTTTTCGGATTATGTGTGAGGAACCAGTTGTGCTGGTTCCCGTACGCAGCGGAATATAAATAAGTAATAAAGAAGACAACAAATTTAACGAGGTTCAGCCAACTCAGGCCTACGTCCTCCTATCCTAAGTTCTTTATTAATCTACTCCGAAAAACAAAGACAAAGAACACTCTGCTGTTTTCCTACTCCGGGAACCAGTCTACCCCACACTCTACTCCGAGTGTGCTCTCGACTTACACTCGTAAGCCCAATGTGTTTGAACTCACAAACACTCACCCAGCCTTTAACCCCTTTGTTAAAGACTCAATACAAGAATCAAGAACTCTCCTTTGATCTCACTTCTACGAAGCTAATTAAGAGAAAAAGTTTAAGTACTAGAATGCTCTTGTATATAACTTGATGAATGGGATTAGTGCTTAAGTATATGCTCTCAAATAATTGCTCTTTTAATTTCTGGAGAGGCACACGAAATATGTGAAATAAGATGAGTTTATATAAGCTTAGATTCCTAAAACCTAGTTTCCTTAAATCACACAATCTTAGAGAATAAGATATATTGTAATTTTAGGAAAGTATTTATCTTATTTGATTTAATCACAAAGATAGAATCAATTAAGATAAATACTCCTAGTTTTTAGGTAACCAAGAATATTTCATCTTATTTCCAGCTGCACAAAATATTTTCAAAATAATCTTTTCGAAAAAATCTTTTTGTAAAATCTTTTTCCAAAACGGCAGCTCGAATATTTCGTACAGTGAACCTGGTTCCCCGACCTGGTTCCCTGAATTGAAACATGTTATGAAACCTGTTCCAACTTTGTACCAGATTTCATATCATACTTCAATATACTTTTAAGCACTTATATAACCCAAACATGCAAGCATACTACGGAGCATATTACATGAAAACCTAGATAACATATTAAAGCATAAATCGTCTTTTCTTCATGTAATCTTCAAGACTTGAATCTTCCTTGAATACTTCTATTATGAGCAAACAATCTTTCTTCGAAATATCTTCGAAAGGCTTCTATGCTCCAAGTCTTGGAATCAACTCAACTACTGCACATGTAACATGGTTAATGCACAATAAAGAGTATGTGACTGCTTTTCCGCATAGCAGTCAAGGAAACGGTTCATACTGGTTCCCCACCAGTACATAGCACATTTATCATCTAACTGTTTCCTGTATATAGATAAGTTAGTTCAATAGATAACTCATATAATCAATAACTTATCTAGGAAAACAGTGTTCTATTTTAGTTGGTTCCCCCAACTGTATTGAACACTTTCAAAGACCTGTTTCCCTTAGCTGTTTGTCATCATTCAAAACTATCAATCAAAACCTAAGGGACTCAACAAATTCCCCCTTTTTGATGATGACAAACTCTTGAAGTTCTTGAACCTGTGGACATGCTCAAAAAGAAAACCGTCAAAAACTTCAAGGACTCAAAACTCTTTGGAACAAGTCAGTTAGGCTAACTGGTCCCCTAAACAGAAAATAGAAAATACGAAATAAAAAGACTCAAACTGACTCAATCTAAACTAGCTAAACCTCAAACTGACTCAATCTAAACTAGCTAAACCTTAGGCTTCAACTTCAAACTACTTCCCCCTTTTGGCATCATTAAAAAGTATCCACAAGTAAAAGCAATGTGCACAAGTTAATGTGCTTATCCATACAATGGCATCAACCACCATTCAAGCATTATGCTGCAAAAAGAGATTAGTCAAACAGTTCATACCATAGCAGAGTTAGTAGTTCATACAAGCCAACAAAGTTCAACCAAAGAAGCCCAAATCCATCCAAAAAGAAAGTTCATGGAATGGAGAGAAGTAGACAGACCAACAAAATCAGTTATTTTAGAATAAACATGAGGGTGAGGAAACAAGAACAGAAACAGCATCACTCCTCATCATCATTCTCGTTCCCTTCCTCCTCCTCGAACTTTGCAACATCTTCTGTATGATCATCTGATTCCTCTTCATCCTTGTCACCATGCTCTGCTTAAACCAAAATCATTATATTACTAAGCATATTCTTGTGATTCCCCAATCTGTTTCAAAACCACTTCCTGACCTGCTGGTTCCTCTATTTTTTTTTTTTTTTTTTTTTTTATAAATCATGAGAGATCCGCACTTATTCATAAAGTTCTCCTTGTTGCATAACGAGTACAAGACTAGCATCACATCAATCAAGCAAAGACCTCCACCCTTTTGTGGTGTGAAAGGTTCTTGCTGGTACCCTTTTTCTCTTGGACTGTTCCTCCTACACCTTCTCAGTGAACTTCTTTAATGAAGATTGAGTTACTCTACTTCGTACCATGGTCTTAACAATGAGTGTCTCCTCATTGTAACCAACAATCTCTATTTCATCCTCTTCACTCTGACTTTTCCGAATTTCCTCCAACTTCGGGCTTAAGGACATTTGAGCTTCCTTCTGATGTTCCCCCTGAGACTGAGCTGGTTCCTTGAGTGAACAGTAACCGAATGAACAATGATGAATTTAAAGCATACGAGAGAGAGAAAGAGAATTTCGAGTGATGATGATTGATGATCTGCACAAAGGGTTAGTGTATATTTTTAACAATGAAGCACAAAGAGAGAAGAAGGAAAGAAAAGAGTTAGTTGAGCCAATAAAAAGCAACTGTAAAGGATAATTTTTTTATTATTTTTTTTTTAAATTGAAATCAAAAATTTGGTAATTATCTTTTACCATAATTATCTCAACCAACTATAAATAAGGCATATGATATGTTTGCCTTTTATATGGGATTAAATAACTGAAATAAGATAAATTCCTTCCAAAAGGAAATATCTTATAGTAATCTTCCGAAAATAAAAGATATTATCGGATGACATGTCAGAGCTGGTCTGCTGTTTCCCTTTGCTGGTACCTGTATAGAACCATGTCACGCTGTTTATGGCAATTCAGCTTGATTTCACCTGTTTCTTACAACAATGATTCTCAATCCTTTTGAGATTTTGAACCATCTACACAACACTTGAAAGATATCAACATAAGTATGTACACACACTATACAAGAGAATACCATTCTAACCAATCATTGAAGGAAGTAATTGAAGCCAATACCTAAAATCTAACTAGACCTAAAAGGACTCTTAACCTACAAAAAGACTCTCTACACAAGGGCTTTGTGAAGATATCAGCAATTTGATCTTCACTTTTACAAAACAACATCTCCACCAATCCTTTTTCCACATTGTCTCTTAAAAAATGGTGTCTTATTTCAATGTGTTTTGTCTTGGAGTGTTGCACAGGATTCTTTGAAATATTAATTGCACTAGTGTTATCACAAAAAATAGGAACACTTTTATAAATAACACCAAAATCTTTCAGCTGGTTCCTTATCCACAGTAGCTGGGAACAGCATGAAGCTGCAGCTATATATTCAGACTCTGCTGTGGATAGGGCCACTGAATTTTGCTTTTTAGAACCCCATGAAATTAGACAAGAGCCAAGAAAGTGTGCCATACCTGATGTGCTCTTTCTATCAACTAAGAAACCAGCATAATCTGCATCTGTGTATCCAATAAGATCAATGGTACTGCCTTTGGGGTACCACAATCCCAGATTTGCTGTTCCTACAAGATACCTAAGTATCCTTCTAACAGCCTTCAAGTGAGATTCCTTTGGATTGCTTTGAAACCTAGCACACAAACCAACAGAAAACACAATGTCAGGTCTACTAGCTGTTAGGTAAAGTAGAGAACCTATCATTCCTCTATAAAGAGAAGCTTCAACATCTTTTCCCTTAAGATCAGCATCTAATTTTGTAGATGGGGGAACAGGTGTATCATAAGCTTTGCTGTTCTCCATGCCGAATTTTTTCAGCAACTCTTTTAAGTACTTTTGTTGATGGATCATTATTCCATCATCCATTTGCTTAATCTGCAGCCCTAGGAAGAATCCTAGTTCTCCCATCATGCTCATTTCAAATTCACTCTGCATAAGATTAGCAAATTCATCACAAAAAACCTGATTAGTAGCACCAAATAAAATATCATCAACATAAATTTGTACTACAATCAAGTGTTTCCCCCTGGTTCTTATGAACAAGGTCTTGTCTACTGTTCCCCTCTTGTAATCATTTGCCATCAAGAAATTGGACAATCTTTCATACCAAGCCCTCGGAGCTTGTTTCAACCCATATAATGCTTTGTCCAACTTGTACACATGTTGGGGGAACAGTGCATCTTCAAAACCAGGTGGCTGCTCCACATATACTTCTTCCTTTAAATATCCATTGAGGAAGGCAGTCTTTACATCCATCTGAAACAGCTTAAAATTCATGTGAGCAGCATAAGCAATTAAAATCCTAATAGCCTCTAGCCTAGCTACTGGTGCAAACGTCTCATCATAGTCAATTCCTTCTTGTTGATTGTACCCTTGCACCACTAGCCTTGCTTTGTTTCTGACTATAGTACCAAGGTCATCTAACTTGTTTCTAAAGACCCATCTAGTGCCAATGACTGATCTTTCCTTGGGACGGGGAACCAGGTGCCAAACCTGGTTCCTCTGAAACTGATTTAACTCATCTTGCATAGCTAGTACCCAATCAGGATCAGTCAATGCCATTTTATAGTCAGTAGGCTCTACATTAGACAGGAAAGAATAGAAAGCACAAAAGTTTTGAAAAACATTTGTTCTCGTTTGAATCCCCTTATTTATATCACTAATTATTTGATCAGTGGGATGAGAAGATTGATATCTATAACTTTTAAAATTAAGACTGTTTTGTGCTTTCTCATTAAGTTGGGAACCAGCATGTTCATGGATCTCTCCTTCTTCTGAGGAGCCAGGAGGATTCACATTCATGTTGTTTCCTCTATCATTACTTACCTCAGGTTCAGGGGTGGTACCTTCTTCTGTTCCCCCTGAACTCATTAC